TAAGAGCAGCAGGTGCTCTTAACCACTGAGCCATCTCTCTAGTCCATAGAGGTTTATTTTCTTAATTTATTTATTTTTGGTTTTTGAGACAGGGTTTCACTGTGTAGCCCTAGCTGTCATGGAACTAGCTCTACATGTAGACCAGGCTGGCCTCAAACTCAGAGGTCCTCCTGCCTCTGCCTCCCAAGTGCTGGGATGAAAGGTGTGTGCCAACACTGCCAGGCTTATTTTCTCAATTTAAAAAACAAAACACAATCAGTGTTGTAGCACATGACTTTAATCCCAGGAGGCAGAGGCAGTGGGATCTCTGAGTTTGAGTCCAGCCTGGTCTACAGAGCAAGTTCCAGGACAGCCAGCACTACAGAGAAACCTTGTCTTATAAAAAGAAATAATTTTTAAAAAGTCTGATTATAAATTAAAAAATAAAATAAAACATAGGTACATGACTGACCAGCTTTTCCCCAATTAACATAAAGAACAAATGAGACAGCTACAAGGTCTTTGTTAATTACTCCTATTGTTGAGTTAGAGCCCCTTTGCTTCAGTTTGAAAGCCCCCCTCCTTCCCAAATGACCTGAGCTTATCTGGATCTGCTTTCAAGCCTCAGCTTCTGTTTGGGTATAGGGTGGAGCCAGGTGTCTGTCCTCACAGGGTCTTCCTTTGCAGAGCTCATTAATCCTGTGTCCTATGTCTGCAAGGAGAAGCTATTAACATAGGCAGGCACCCCCCTCGGCGAAGTGTCACCCTTCACATTTGGCCAACAGAACTACAAATGTTTGTAGAGGCTCTGCCCTCACTAACAGTGTCAGTCATATCTGCCACACGAGGTCACAGGTCGGTGCTGAGGCTCTCCGAGGGAGCTGACTGCAGTAGCTCCACGGGCTCAGGACTATGGATTTTTGAGAGTAAGATGAGTCACTAAGTTGAGCTAGGCAGGGGTAGAGGAGGTGGTGGTGAGCTTGAAGATGAATAAAGGTCCTTGCCTGAGGTTTATTAATTTTATGAGTCTATGCTAATAGCCCCACAGGAAGCACCTAGTGATAGAGCCCAGAGCAGACAGGAGTGTGAGGGAAGGGAGCAGCAGGGTGGACGTCTGATGTGTGGATGGATGGGTGGGTGGACACGGCCTTTCATGGGCAGGAAGAGGTGTCCAGACATTGCTGGTGTGAATGGGATGGAAGGTTATTG